TTTCGCTCCTCGCACCGCCTCCTGTATCTCTTGAGCGGTGACTGCTGGAAACTCGATTTGCTGTGGGTACTGGAATGAGTCCGTGTCGGATAGATCGGCTGGCGGCGGTTTGGGGAAGAAGGCAATCCGGAATGCCTCTGCCTTTTGATCAACTGTTTCTGCGAGAGTTCCAGGCATTTGGGGATCCTGTATTTTCAGCGAAGGGGTGATACCCTTCTCGTAGGCCCCATCTCGGTTTCTTGCCCATTTAGCCAATCGCCACATACCCTGTGGGCCATCTTCAATGACCTGCTGGACTCGGCGCCGGTGCGCCCTTGACAAGGTTCTCTTGACGAGTCGTGTTTTTCTGTTGCGTGCTTCAGAGTAGCACATCCAGTCGTAGGGGTCTTGAGTTCTCGTATGTTTGCGACGGAGGCGACGAACCTCTTTGACCGCAACTTTACACTCGTCGTCAAAGTCGGGGTTCGACCACGCGGATGGTTTTGCCCATGGGGTTGATTCCTCGATTGCTGTTTGGATCGCTCCCATCAGCTCCTGGCATTTGGCTTCTATCCTTTGCGGATTTGCCCGGTATAGGCCTCCTGTCCGTAGACCTCCTTCGATCTTCTGGATGAGTTTCTGATCATCGGTTGCGTTCCAGTTTCTTCTCTTCTGTTGTACTGCAATGGGTGTAATAATATCAAGCACAGTCCTGATCGGGAAATGGTCGGATGCGTGTTCGATGTCATCCGCCCTCTCGCAATTGATAAGCCTGTTGACAAGGTTGGATGTGATGAAGGTGAGGTCAATCACCGACGACTGATCGTTTCGAGACCAGGTAGGTCTGCCTTGTTGGGTCGTCAACTCGAGTCCCCATTCATTGGCGATTTCTAGGAGTTGCTCGGCCTCCTGATCGAGCCTGGTCCCTGTTCCTCCCCATCTCGGGTGATGCGCGTTCATATCTCCAAGGATGATGTGTTCTCCATGAGGTCGTTTTGACAGCTCATTTCTCAGATGTCTAAGAGTATTGCTGCCCGGCCTATTGTATATGTTGTGTATGAAGAGATCTGTCCAGTCTCTGCCCTGATGAGCCTTTCTAAGTTTCAGTAACTGGTAGTCCTGTGAGACGAGTTGACACGACCAAGTGCTCGGGTCAAGCCTTTTAGACACAAACAGGCATACGCCCGGTTGGGAGAGATCCGAGGCTTGGACTTGATTGTCCTGGCCTTGGGTTGTTCCGTCGGCAGCTGCTTTTGGTGGGTAAATTAGCTGGAATGTTGCCGTCGCTGGTTGGCGTGTTGTGTGTTGCATTTCGTTCTTCCATGGCTCCTGCACCGCGACGACGTCCGCCGCGAGGACATTTCTGTCTCTGAGGAACGTTGCCATCACTGGCCACGATTTGTGTACGTTGTATTGAAGAATCTCAAACGATTTCATTGATGAGTTTGTTCGTCATCGCTTCGTTCGCTGGCCTCGTGCCATACTTCATCATTTGGGTCTTCGATTGTTGGTGCATCCGTCGTAAAAATCAGCGGAGATGATCCAATCGGTATCGCTTGCCGCTGCGTGTATTTCAGAATCACCAATTTGCGGTATTCGGGGCTCTCCGGGTCCAATTCTCCCTCGTCATCAGGCCCGGACGTGTTACTGGCCTCATTGACAGTGGTGACCTCGTTGATGAATTGGGTAAGTCGGTGTTCTAGGCTATCTTGCTGAGTGTCAGGTTGAGGGAAACTGGCCGGAGTGGGTTGAATGCTGAGCCATTCATTGTCGTCTGGTTGCTCGTCCATGGTGTCGTCCGGCTCGCCTGTGCGGCGCCTTTTCGAGGCCGCTTGGAGCCTTGTGGACCCTTGGCATGCCAGCGGTATCACTGTTGGTTTGGGATTCTTTGGCCTCGTTCTTGAGCCCTTTGGGCGACCAGGGCCTCTTTTGAGCTGAGTAGGCTGAGTCGGTTCAGTGACCTCCTCTGGTAATGTTTCTACTTCTATCGCTGCAGTCTCCACGTCGAGTACAGCATCCTGGGGGTTCCATGGGGGCTCTTCTCCCCGTTGCCCCTCCGGAGCGTGTATCGACGCTTCGAGTCCATTCGCAACCATGGGGTCTGCCCTAGTCGAAGGTGCTTCGTTGCCGGTGCTTGCCGTCACTTGGAGGTGCATAGGAACGCGGTGATATGCAGGGCAGTTGGCCAGCGCTTGTTTGGCTTCGTTCATCGCTGCAACCTTCACCGGACATTCCCGACTTGTAGGGCGATGCCCTTCGCCACAATTGGCGCACTTGACTGGTATCGCTTGCCCCTTCGTCGACGGACACTCCCAGGTCGGGTGTCCGTTGGCGCAGTGACCGCATTTGAAGAAGTTGGAACAGTGTGACTGGATATGCCCCGGCTTTTGGCATTTTCTGCATAGCTTTATCCGCCCCTCACGACAGAATCGTGATGCATTGTGAATTTGCTTCCCCCACACGATTCCCGAGATGATCGCGCGATTAGCCACGACTGGGCTGGTGAACTCGACCAGGATGGAGCCCTCCGCCCTCTCACCCGGACGGGTCATCCATCCTAGATACTGAATCTTGGCGCCTTCGCCCCAGTTGTTCTGCCTGAGCAGCTCAGCCGCAACGTCAACCATCGTCTCCGGGGTAACCTTCATCGACCTCACGGGAATATGGTACGCCACCACTCCCCATGACGGTTCTTGGACCACCGAGCCTGGTCCAAAGGCTCTCAGCCACGCAGCATGTTTGCGGAGGACCTCTGCCCCTGCCGCACTGTTGGCGATCATTGCCACATCCCCCGACGGCAATTTTCGAGCGGCGACAAAGAAAGCCTGTCCGGCCAGTACCCCTGAATTCTTCTGACGGGCATTTGATACCCTCTGTCGTTCAGCCCTCTCGACCAGATCTTTTGGTGTCAATCCACGGATTTGCTCGCGGTTCATTCCGACCTTGACGATGACCTCTCGGTCCTCGCGAAGTTCCATTTCCGGTACTCCTGGAGACGATGTGCCGCCGCTCCGGGTGATAGGAGCCGCAGCCGTAGCCAAGTCGCGCTGCCATTCTTTGGCCCGGAAGTTGCGCCACGCTGCCGCAGAGTTCGCCGCGGGGGTAGATAGTGCCGTCGATAATGTGTTCGTTGTCTTTTCAATGGTATTAATTCGCTGGTTCAGGCGTTCAGTACCGGCGTTGATCTTGGTCAGCGCCTCAAGCACCTTGGCCATCCCCTGACCGTCTCCCCGTTGGGCGTTTAGTGCGTACTGGCGGACGGCACGAATATATCCAGTGACGTACCGGTCCTCCGTGCCATTGTTCTCGATGTGGTTAAGCACCCGGCGGGCCCCTTCCGCGATGTCGTCCATGGATCGGGGCGGATCCGCGAGGGCCGTGGTTTTTGGTGTTCCTCTCCTGTCAGGGGGCAAAATCTGTGCGTTCGCACCCGTCCCAACCATCGCTGCCATCTCCCCTATGAAAAGGGTATCAGGCCGTAGCGCTTGAGGTTACGATTACGATGAACTAATTCACGAGGCCTTGGGACCTCTGATTGGTTAGATATTTCAAGAAAACGTTTTTGCCAAGAAAGAGTTGTCTCGCCGTAATGCCCAACTTCGTATTTAAACATAGTAGGTTGTCTAAAGTGACGGTCAGACCCTGAAGTGGGGCCCGAAGCACCCAAGGTCAAATACTCATGGAACACCACTGTAAGTGCTCTGGGTAGATCCTGAGGTAAATGGCCTCGGATGCTGACTGAGCACAAATTAGATACAAAAGTGGCCTCATCACCGGGATGCGCGAACTCGACATGTCTTATGCCTCCGAGAAGGGAGAATCTATCTAGTCGATCTCACTATCGACAGCGTCAAGAGCCGCCTGGACATCTTCCTTAGTGCCACCGTCGGGGATTTTGACAGTTGCAACGATTCCGTGTGTCCCTTTTTCGTGTTTTTGTCTCCACTGCTTCCAGGAAGTTGGGATCTTGTTACCCGAATTTACCTGAACCTGGAATCTGTGGAATTTCTTCCCGTTTTCCTCAATAGTGCCTGCGAAGTCGAAACGCACTCCTAGACTCTCGAGATCTGCCGCAGTCTTCGGGAAAGCGGTTTTGTGGAGGGCAACACTTGGTCGCACTAGCTTTTTGTAACCATTTGCATGTTGAAGGACGGCGTCCTTGATTTTGTTCCACTTGTTCGGCATGTGGTTGATGGTGCTGGTTGCCGTCAACAAGTGTTTTCTCACAGAACAGGGAAGAGTATCTACCTTGCGACTGAAGCTTTGTCTTGTTATTCACGATAGTAAATTGTTACAACAGCTCTGTTGAATAGAATTGACGAAATGTTGGCTAGTTCAAGTGGTCGCTGAGAAAAGCAGTTGGGAGGTAAGATTCACCACAGCTGTCGAGGGGCCAGCTTTTATAAACGTGAGAGAATCTTCCGAACTAAAACCTCTTTATGCAGCTGTCACATCACAAGTCAGCGGCCAGCTACAAAAGAAATCGGACTGAGGGGATTTAGTAGGGCGCTTAAGCTTAACAAATCAGATGCGTGCGCAGGTCTGAGGCCGCTGCTATTATGCAAGGCTCAACTGCCCCAAGGGCGACTTGCCTGGCAGCCCCCATCCAATCAAACTATACTGACGTGGCAGCAAGGGTTTTTTCGAGCCACATTGTTAGTTACATGCTGTTTCTGCACAGGCGTCCGCGAATCAAAACCATGCACATGCGGGTTTTGTTTTGAAGAGCGCCAATGCGCCATTTTCAACATAGACGTAAAGAATGGAGCTATGTGAGCGGACCAATAAGAGAACTTTACTGAGGAGCAGCTGAAATTCTATTTAAGATACGCCACCGCCCAACCCCTCTCTTATTCACTCCTACGTTCTCGTCCTCACTCTTACATATTCGTCTTCACCCTTACGTTACCCTCGCCATCTGTCCTACTTTAGTATTTTTTCCCCCTTCAATTCTCTTATCCACTCTGACTGCCTCGTGCAACTTCTTACTCACCCACCCCTCATATTTCCTATCAATTATAATGACGTCATCGGGACGACGGAAGACGGCTCGGCCGAAGATTGGAGTATTGCAGCTTCTCCAAAAGGAACTAAAGACTTTCGATGAAGAGAACCGACCTTTGCTCCATCATCAAGATGAGCGACTACAGTTATGCTTGGTTTTGCTTGAATGTCCTGTGTTGGCTGGGTTGTCCGAAGCACAACGCTTCGGAAGATTACGGGCGCGAAAGCTTTTATTTGACATTCTCCGACACTTGGGACAAGAGGTTTTCTTCCTCTTTGCTACAGCGATAAGTATCACGAGGTTGGCAAGAATCTCGGAGGAAACCGTGCTAGAAGTGCGTCAATGGTGGAAAACCATCCGCAAGTGCCCGAATGGTCTTATCATCAAGGCCAAGGAAGTCTGCAACGATGAATTCCAAAAAAAATATACAGCAGGTAAGGTTCAAGTCGCTCCTCAACGAAAAGATCACTAATACAAGTAGCAGATATGCCGAAGGATAACTCTTCCACGACTCAGCCTCCTCCCACGGTTGTCGATATTGGGTTCACGGAGCTTTTGAACTTTTTCCAAAAGTATGAACTTGGTTCGCCAAGGTTGAAACTGATGTGTCCCTTATTTGGATCGCCATTGCCATGGATCGATATAAACCTCGACTCCTCCTCAGAACGGACCGCACGCATTGAACTTTCTCTTAGAGCAAGTGAGGCGTTGGTCGAATACATTCGAGTCGCGCGGGATCTAACTGGCGTAACGGAAGTATCGAACTGAAGGACTTTGATAAAACCTGCAGGTTTCGCCAGGTTTGACGAGAATCAAGGCAATTCCAGGGTCCATCCCTGGCCCTGAAACCTCATTCAACACAGGGCTAGTGTCGACCCTAACGGCGCCCCATGCACCATCTTTCTTTAAAAGCAACGCGGGTATTGAAGGATCTATGCTTTCAAGGTTGACGCCGACTGTCCAATTTTTGTCGAGGGTAACATTTCTTTTCACCTGTTTATTACTTTAGTAGGAGGATTAAAACATGCAGGACATTTCCCACCTTCTCTTGGACCATCTTCCTAAGACTCTCATCGTCGTGAGGAGCGGCATCCAGTGTTATCACTTCACTTTTCTCAGCCATGACTTGGGAAGTCTTCAGAATTTGTCCAGAATAATCTTCGAGGAGCCACCTAACTGTGCTGCTATATTTTTGTGAATCGTTGGAGATTGATTTCACGAGTAGATTTCACTTTAACTGGGGGAACAGGGCCAGATTAATATTCCGGAAGCAGATGGGTGAAGGATGACGGGTTTTCGGTCGAACCTGAACAGCAACGCAGACTGTATACGTCCCCAGTTGGAAGGGGTATGAATGTAAAGTGGTGAGGGGCTTTTTTGGTGGGGTGTCGGCGGGGCTCGGTTGTTGCGACCTGACAAAGCCAGACCAGCCCGATCGGAAGGGAGCAATTCGGGCAGCATTACGTATCTAGCCAAGAGAGGGCTTCCACTATATGGCGTTGTATTGCGTGAGAGTGTGTTTCCGTTCAGAGGATTTGTGTTCTATATACATAGAGTGGACCTTTCAGTCAGGGACACGGTTAAAGGCTGATCACGTGCCGAATCGAATCACTGAACTCAGCCGTGCATGCTCAACGAATTGGGAATCTGTTCAAGGATTATCTAACGAACTAAGAATAAGTCAGAACGTATGCGGCCAAGCAAGCGTATTTTCTAATCTGAGTATAGATTTTTACGAGATGAATACTTGTGCCATAGAAAGGAAAAGACCAAAAAATAGCCACACGTTGCACGAACCAGTGTGGTGCAGACACGAGTTAACAAGAGCAGGTACGAGTGAATAAGTGCAAGCACGACTGAATAAGAGCAAGCACGACTGAATAAGAGAATGCACGAGCCAATACCCATAACCAGACATAGAAGGAGTTACATTAGCTGCGCACGGAATAACGGGTACAGCAAATCATGCACGCCTGTCGAGCTATTGATACCTAGGTTGGAAGGTGTCTAAACAATCGAACATGTTCGAGGCGTCCATCGTGTATCTCGCGGCACAATGTCATACCGCTGGACGCCATCGGCATGGACGAAAGGATACGAACATATAAGAAGAAGCAATTCCTCGGGCTCTCATCGACCTTTCTGCTCATCATCGGCATTCCAATCTCTTAGACAATTCATACCAGCTTCCCATACTGCACCGATATTTCTTAGCTGTTCAAATTGCACAACATGGCATTGAAGACTTCCTCTCCCTGTCACCAAGGGTTGACGCCCCCAGATAGCCCAACGAAGGGGACAACCGCGTCTCAGGCTATCGTGAAGGATCTTAAGCATCTCTTTGGTGTGTTCCTTGAAAACGTGCTCGACCTTGCCAACCAAGAACCTCCAAACGGTCCTGTCTCCCAGGACCAGTCCCCAGCAGCCCCCGATATGATTCGACTGAAGCAGTTGCTGGTGAAACTCACCAGCGATGAAGGTGCTTCAGTTGGACCCTTCGTGACAACTAATCCTGCTCAGTCTGGCCTTGCCAACAATGAACAGGAAGAGGTTGTAGAGGCGGCAGATGAAATCGATCTCTATCGTCCAATCTGTACTACTCCAGATGATTTCAAATCGTTTGAGAAATGGGCATCGGCATCCCAATTCAAAACAGTCGTGGAAACGTATGAGCTAGCCATCAGACCATTTCTTGTTCGGGAATTGCTGACACAGGTCCAGTTGGGACAAAGAGGCATGTAAATACAAGATAGCCGAGCCGACGAAGACCAGCACTGATCTGGACGACTATGCTGAGTATGCATTCGTTGTCCGTGAACGTGTCGGTACGTCAGACCCCTGCGTGACGGACCGAAACAATACTAATAGTATGATTAGAACGGAATTCCGAGGTGACGCCGTACATAGACATTAAATCGGCAGGCTTGCGCGACATCCTGCGTGTGGTTTTGCACGGCATCAAGGCCATCAGCCTGATGGAGGACAAGCCCTCGGTAATTGGCACTAAGTAGAATCTCGAAGAGAACGCTGACGTGGATTTAGATCGAGCAAAACGTCCTTTTCCATTTCCTCCCAGAGCTCGACAGATGTGCGGAGAACATGGACAACAGCTCGGACCATGACTCGGCACATGCGGAGCATCTCCGCCTGCTCATCGACCACCTCAAGCAGGCATATGCTTCTATCTCGCCGCGTCTCGAATCAATGTTGCAGCACGGTCATATTACTTATGACCTTCTTTGGGCGCTTTGCAAGCCCGGTTGCCATGTTTATACCACATGCATTGGCACAAAAGAGCCACGATGTGTCAGATTCGACGCGGGGGAAGAGATGACACAAAATGACGAGACGTGGTGGAATCTCGAGTGCCGATTCATCGATTATGACGGAGTCAAGTTCGGCGAGGCCGGAATATTTTTGCGTGTCGCAAAGTTCCGGGGTTCAAGGCCGATCGAGAGCCTTGAGGCCTTCCCTCTCCGCTACCATCCAAGGCACGAGGAAGTCCGGAAAGTCTTGGTCAAAAGAGGCCAAAAGTTTCGGGATTTGGCCGGCTCGCACATTCGGCACTGTAACGGCAGTGCGTTCTTTATGAACAAGGGGAAGGCGATCAAAGTCAACGTCAACAGTCGAGTGGCAGTGGACGCCGCATTCTTTCATGAAATGCAGCCAAACTACTCCCGACCGTCACTCCGCGACCGAGGGGTTAAGGAAAAGGATGGAATTGCAGTCATTGACATAGGTGCAATGTGCATGGAGGACCGTGAGCGGGAAAAGGAGAAAATGCGAGGAGACGGTGTGGATGCACAAAAGCTGAGCGAGGCTGATTTTTTGGTCGCCTGCCCAACAGTTTGCTGTTTCAGCTTCAAGGAGAAAATGTTCTGTATGTGACACTACTGACAATGCTTTAGTGTCCGGCTAATGTGATTTCAGTGGAGTGCGCAGTCAGTGCTCTTCGGGGCGTAGATTGGTCACCCGGATCGTTCGACTGCCTGCAGATCCCTTCACAGACCAAGACAATGCTCTTGTCATTGGCGAAAACACGCTTGGGTCTGATACCGACGGTACCGTTTGACGACGTTATTGGTGGAAAGGGCCAAGGACTGAACATCCTTCTGAAGTATGTCAGCAAAGCGTCTGTACTATATCAAGACGTCCAGTCTAACACATGCTAGTGGCCCACCGGGCGTCGGAAAGACGTTCACGGTTGAGGCCACCTCGGAATATTTCAAGCTCCCCCTCTATTCGGTATGAAATCTTCGTCGCGCAGATTGTGGCCTTACTAACTTTGCCAGATATCCGCAGGCGAACTTGTTGTTGACCACGGAGATTCTCATGCGCTTGAAGCACAGCTTGAAGTCATCTTCAAAATCGCGAAGCACTTTAATGCTATACTGCTCTTAGATGAAGCGGACGCGTTCATGGCAAGCCGCACAGCGCTCCATGACAACCACAATCGACTAGTAACCATATTCCTACGAAAGCTGGAATATTATCAAGGAGTTCTCTTCTTGACTTCGAATCGGGGTATCCAATTTGACGATGCAATCCTGAGCCGGATCCACTTGACCGTCGAGTATGAAAATTTGACGAGAGAGTTTCGCAGAGATCTCTGGTCAACGTTTCTGTCCAAGGCATGTACGATGCAAGGACCTGCCGTTGTTGAGGAACACGACCTCCGACGACTGGAGTCTTTAGCTCTAAATGGACGAGAGGTGGGTTCCAGAGCGCTGCTGTGCACTTCTCACTTGCTGACTAACATGAACTAGATCAAAAACATTGCAGCAATCGCACATGCTCTTGCTGAGGCGGATGGCAACCAAGTGAGCTATAAATTCTTGGAGTTAGCCTCGGAATCGAATAAGAAATTTTCGAAGGAGTTCGGTCGACAGGGGATGGTTGATGGGATGTATCTCTAGCACCGTACCTGGAAAAATCATGTGGATAATTCGTCGCTCAAGCCTGTCGAGCAATCGGGCTCTCTTTGCAAACATGCCTATTTAACTCACGATCTTAATAGAAAGGTCTCGAGGTCTTGTGGCGTAATGTCTTGCAATGTTTTCGGATAGACAGCTAGAAGCTTAAGGTTCTGCCATATCGCAAATTTTCCACTGTTTTCAAGCCAGGCACTTATTTCATTGCTCTGACACGAGCACGCCGTGTATTGCCAGACGTAGGTTCAAGGGCCCGAGGCCGCTTCAACCATTTCACATCCTCCAAGTCAATGACGACCAGACGGCCACTCAGGTCATCCCACAGCATATTACGCCACTCACTGTCGCAGTGGATAACTCCGCGCGACCGGAGCACAGCCAGAGCTTTGTCGCGCTCTCGGTCGAAGAAGCTAGAATTCCCATCATTGACGACATGTTGAAGCCGCGTTCCTGACCAGCTCAAGATCATCATCTGGGCCATTAATTCGCCGTGGTACCAATATGCAACGCGAGGCTTAAAGTCTCCAAGACAGACGGGAATGTGTTGTCCCTGCAAGCTCCTGAGATGGTGATAATTGTCCACTTCCGCTTGGAGGCGATGCTGCTTCTCCACAGTCGTGGCTTTAATGATCACAGTGTATCCGCGCGATAGGAGGGTGGCTTTCATGAGGTATCCTGTCCGACCACAGACATGCAGCTGTTCGAATCCAAGATCTCGATCTCGGGCAAGTTGACGATGAAGCTGGCGTCTGAACTCCTGCGGTCCCATGGAGTGTCTCTGACCACCGTGGAGTTTCCAGTTAGGGCATTTTTTATCCAGAGGTTCTCGGTTGACCATGCCGCGGATGCAGGCAATGGTGCAGTATGGTCGTGTAGAATGCCTGTCTTTTCGAGAAGTCTGTTTGTTGTCCCGGTCGGCTCGTGTCCTTTCGCTTCCCCTAGTTGATTGGCGGTTGTTGCCTCGGCCACGGCTCGATCGGATGCGCGATGCTGCCGCGGTAGATGGCGAGTGCGATTCTTGATCACTGCCGCTGCCTTCAGTCGACGAGTGCTTCGGTGTAGATGCGCCCGGTTGACAACGAGCGCCAGCACGAGAGCGTGTGTTGTGTATTTTCCGATCTCGTTTCCGCTCTCGTTTCCAGTGCGAGGGCCGATAATTAGAGGCCCGCGGGTCTTTACGGAGAGTTTCGGGAATTTCCCTCAACACGTCGAGATACTCGACCTTCCAGGTCGTTAGCTTGTCGTGTGCCGCATCGTGCCATTCTTGAGTCGGAGGTTCGACGGCCAGCGCTTGAAGGGTGAACGCAAGCACCTGACCGATGGCTGTCCGGTGGAGGCGCAATTCATCGTCCGCTTGCACATCTTGATTCGGGATACACAAGAAATATTGAACAACGGTAGGATCATCCTTTGGAATATGGAGGAAAACGAAAGCCTCTCCAGTGCAGATGTAGCCGTATCGAACTCCACTGTCGATCATGTACGAGAATATCTGAGTGACCACGGCGGCGACGAGGCGGGTGGCATAAAATTCAAATGTGTCACCTTCTTGGTCAATGACATCGCGAGCCAGATCAGTCTGGTGAAGACCCGCCACCAGTTCGGGAATTGTCACTTTGTGTGGCGCTTTGAACTCCACTGCATAAACTGGTATGTGTTGTTCATTAGCCACAAGGTGCACGCAGAACTGGTCGGCGCGCCGATTGCGTCTTCGTGCAGTCCCACTCCTCTTCTGTCTCTGCGCCGCTCCTCTCCCCCTTCCATGCCTAGGGTCCGCCGGCCGCCGGGGTGTACGCACGTCGTGAAGACTCATTCGCTCCAAGCTGTTCTCCAGCGAAGTCTCCGATGGGTTCGCGCGATCATAGAAGGTGACTCGGCCTTGGATTCCAAACTCCTGTCGAAGGGGTTCATCGTCTCGCAAAGCATTAATGACTTTTTCGACAAAGTTATCCACCGTGTCTCGCTCAAAATTCCGAAGAGACGCTTCCGAATAGATCGGCTTGTTCTGGATATTCGTAACGACATAATCGATTTGGGCATCAGAAGGGAATAGGGGGCGCGCGGTAAAGGCAGCGGTGCGGTCGAATTTCTCCCAGACTTGTTCCTGTAGCTGGGGGAAGTCAAGCCAAGGGACGATATGCTTGGGGTAGAGTCGGTTCACTGGGTCGGCCGCGTCGCCCTGCGTCGTGAGGGTCGCATCTGCCTCAACTTGGATCGCTTGGGACAGAGAATTGTGGCAGCGATCGAGGAGGTGAAATAGTGGATTGGGTTGCACTCGCCGTTCTGCCGCTTCTCGTGCTTGCCTCTCTTCCTCTTCACGGCGCTCAGCTTCTTCCTGGCGGCGCTCAGCCGCTTCTCGGAGCCTTTGTTGTTCTTCAACCTGACGTCGTAATTCGGCGATTGTTTCCTCCATCCCTTTCTAAAAGAAATATTCAGCAGATAACCGAACGAAACAAACTGAGTCAACAAAGTAGTGGGGGGCCAGCTGGCGCAGGGAATGTGCTGTCGCGGGAAGATGTTCGTCTGGTTGTTTATCAGCTTACTCATCTCTTGACCCAGTTGGTGCCTCAGGCATCAATGCACGTTGCACTTCGGTTGGTTTCAGGCATTGTCTCCAAGACATGCGCCGGACTCGATGGTATCTGGATTTGCCACGTCAGTACAAGATAAATTCGGTCCTCCTTCCGATCCTCAAAGTACAGTCACCGTAGCGAGACGACTATTTCAATTTGTAGCACTCGCGAGGCCCACTTCCTCCAATAAAAGCCATTTGATTCGAAGCATAACTGCGTTGTATGATCTCGCTGTGAGGAATGCTAGTAGTCAGCAAAAGCTCTTTCCAAATAACTAGTTAGAGAGAATAGGCTTACCTCTCTCGTTGTCCGTCTGTTTTGCGTAACACCCTATTGTATGCTCCAGTTTTGGGGTTAGACATCATGCAGTTATTACCCAACGGAATTGACAAGACGTACCTGCCCTATCCCTTGTCAGGAACGGGCTTGCTTGCTTAATGCTGATGGTCCTGGTTGAGCTGTCAGTCCAGGATACACATCGATCTGTTCGGGGAGGATTGGCTCTTAAATATTGCGTAAGATGCCTAGTGGAGGAGAGGTCTTACAGTTCAGAACCGCGAACTCCAAACCGCCGACACTCCCACTTTTGCTTAACTCTCCAGGCTAACTGAGGATCCAGTACGTAAATGGGGAATTGTAACCAAACTGCTATTCAAAACCGCGAACTGCGAACTGCGAAGCCCTTGAGATGCAAGCAATCGTTGCCATACCGTAAATCCAGCCAAGCACAGCCTGAGTGTAGAGCGACGCTGGTGTCCCAGGTCTGGAACGTTGCCTGCAGCTCTAAGTGAGCCTCTATTTTGTGTAGAGACTCATTGACCTAATGGTCTACCAATGGAGCCAAGGGTCGGCAAAGGACATCGTTATGGTATTCAGGTAGAATTGGCAACGGACAACCCTATGATTACAGTACGTCCCGAAACTGGTGCGACCACCTACACTCTTCGATTGATTCTCTAGGCTCCAACGCTAAGAGACACACTAGTCTATATTGGACGTTTTTCCGGTGTATTGCTTCTTACTGTAGGTTAGTTAGTAAAACCAGCTCCAAGATAAGAAAGAAACAGGAGAAAAGAGAAAAGGTCAGATCAGATCAGCAGTTGAAAGTAATCTCAGGAGGACGCCTATACTGCAGCTCCCAGTCAAGACAATTGCGCATAAAAGCAGAGGCCACTATCTGAGCCCGATCATAGCGCACTTTCATCCAGCCCACATCTTCCAGCGTGCACCCCTGCACTGGCTCGAAATTATTCTCTTGCGGCGGACTGGTATAACTTCCTAATTCCTCTTCACTCAGGAATCGCGGCTCCCACCTGCCATTAACCAGAACCACAAAGCCGGTGTCATTATAACGCACGACATCCTCAGGTGAAATGTCCAGAACCGACTGCAACGCCTCCTCATCAACCATGATACAGAATTTATACCGTGCCGTATTTGCCCACTGGGCACGATCAAACGGAACGCCTTGCTCGGTTTCACACGTAGTACGCGCCCACTGGTTGAAATAATCACGCACAATAGATGGAGTCACGCCATCAAAACGCGTCTTGTCATCCATCACCGCAGGCACGAATGAATCGAGCATATCGAGGCCGTCGTAATACTCGAGCGTATCTCTCACATGATAGAGAAAGCGACGCATGAACTCCTTCCAGTCAGAGTCGCTCTTGTAAGTGCATCTGTAGATGACGAGGCCCCATGTCCGGAAGCCGTCGTCGAGCATGTTCTTCTCGATGACATCGGCTTCATTATGGTAGAAGGGGATGGATGGAGTACGTTTGGAGTCGAGCATCCTGGCTGGTGATGAAGACGATAGCGATATAGCAAGGAATTGAAGTATTTGCCTCTTCACGCATGCCCGTGGTGTGGTATTGTGAAGTGATGGGCGGTGGATGTTCGGGTTGAGCCGTCGCGTGGAGAATGTGACCGTTTTTGACAGGTTCCAATGAGAAATATGGCTTTTGAGGAGGCTTCTGGCACCCCGAGTCAAGAATGTCATGTTGACACTCCCGCAGTGGGTTTCACAGTTCAGGCAAACCAGTGGGGTTGGAGATACACGAACGGGGGGAGAGCAGGAATTCAGAACACAGCCCGCGTCAGGTCGAAAGCTCTCGTCACGTGGCTCCACGATCGTCTTCCTACCCTGGGGTGTTTTGAGGCCCTTAAAGATATAGAAACAGTGTCTCCTGGCCTGAGTGGTTAGGTTACGTTGACTTGAAGGTGAACTGCGAAATGCAAAGTGTTACGAGACAAGCCGTCAGCAACCTACAGGGGATGACAACAGCCAACCAAACCCTCAGAAAAGACGAAACCTACAGGAATCACATACAACCAATCATATCACCAATTGATAAGTTCCCAGGAGCAAGACAAGAGCGTGTAAAAACGACACCTCATGCATGAGACTGTGATCGATCCCTGATCGTTCAGGCGAACGTGATCTTGGGATCCACCCGACAGAGGAAATCCAGTACATAGATGCCTTCTAGGTACCCGATGTCCTCTGCCGTGAGGACACGCTGTCCTTGATCACCCTGATTGATCACTGAGCAGTCCCTGTGTAATTTAATTGTTCTTGAACATGCTTGTGACGGTTCATGGATGCTTGGGTTTACCACTACGCCATCTGGCCAAAAAGGCACAATGTTTGGTCGGCGACCAAACACCCAAGCTACTATATATGCTCGATCTCTGACATGTGCATGTTTTGTTCCTGGGAACTTATCAGTTAGTGCTTTGATTGGTCACACGTGATTCCTGTAAGTTACATGTTGTGGTTTTTTTGGGGGTTTGCTTGGTTGTTGTCAATCCCCGCAGGTTGCTGGCGGCCTGCCTCATAATACTTGTTTGGGCTATCGAAAGCCACACTAGACTTATATTGCTTTAAACATTTCTAAATGGCGAGACTTGCGACCAGAAGTCATTGAAATCTATTGGACCAAATTTAAGCATGTCCTTTGCCTGAAGGTCACTTGGTTTGGGCCGGAAGCGTGGGGGATTTCATGAACTATTGAATATTGTCCAAGGAACAAGGATATGGTTCTAAACCGCCAACCAGCCTGCCACCAATGAAAGGCCAGTATTAAGCGGTAGGGCCGTTCGGGAAGGCCCCGATGCTAACGATGTTAGCGCTGAGGCGCCCCTCGAATTCTAGAGATTTTTGCGGCGTCTGACCGTCAGGTCTCTGCCCCTGGTCTTTGGCCCTGTCTGTGGGCCTGACCCTGTCTCTGATCCGTCTCTTATCCGTCTCTGATCCCGTCTTTGATCGCTTGTTGGTCCGATTTGGCCCCAGACTAGACATGCCTCAGATGTGGCGTCGTGCGCCAATCTGGGCTCGGCACAACATTAAGTACTTGGGCTGATATTTGTCTCATCTACAGAGTCCGTCGTTATTGTTGGCTCCACCCTGACTCTATTGCCGCTAATTGCTCTCTTTAATATCGGTCTTTCCTGCTGTTTCGTTATTTGTTTTCTTTGATTTTGTTTCGCCTTCTGGAAGGCTTTTCCTTCCCTACTATTAAGGTCTGGGGTCTTATTTTAATCGACTGAACTTGTTATACTTCTTACTGTTTATCTTCTATTGCATACTGGCTGGATCCTAGTATACCCATAAGAGGTGGCGAGAGGCACGACAACAGTCACGTCTCGCACCCAGCCCACCGAGACCATATCATTTCCCGTGTTGACCTATAGCGACGCCTTGCCCCGGAATGACCTTCGCGACCTTGACGATCAACCTTCAAAACGTCTAACCCGGGCTGGAATTATTGGACAATGGGACTTCCGACAGCCCTCTCCAGTAGAGGGGTGGTTTAGAAGACCACCGCCAGGCCCTGGTGCGAATTTCGACTTCCAAGTGACATCGCCACCGGATGAAGTCATTCCATCTAGCAACGGACCGACCGAGCAGTATATGATAGGAGTTGCACTGGGTAGCCCAGGCATGATCAACGAAGATGAACCTTTACCGCCGCCTCGGTTCGATACAGCAATCTTCGAGCCAGAGCGAATGACACAAAGCCCCCAGGCTTACAAACAGAGCAAGTGGAAGAAGATTGGGGGACTGTTCAAGGCAAAGAATGCACTTACATCGCCATCAAATCGACTACATGGAAGCTTGGCTCAGCAACCCGAGAACTCCAACAAGCCCAAGGAAAGGAATAATTCTTTGAAAGAGTGGCCGGCTTTTGAGGTAGACCCTAAGGCAACCATGGGCGGCGTTAATCAAAGCCCTCCACGTTCTCGGAAGTTTTCACTGAGCGTGAGCAAAGCGCCTCCAGAGGAACCACCCGTTCAAAGGCCCTTGCTGAGTGTCGACATCCCGGATATCCGAATGGAGCGATATAGTGTCATGTTCAGCGACGTTGTCAACAAGAACGAGAGACCTTCACTGCTGGCCAGAAGGGCAAAGACATTGGACAATCTCCGTGTCCCGGACGCAAATGTAGGGCTTATCCGAAATATGTCTTGATATAGAACTTACTGATATGATATAGGGATTTCTGAAAGCGCCTGCGCCACCTCCAATGCCACAACGCCGGGCAACGTCGCCCGCGAGATCTAGCTTCACCTTATTCCCAAGCTCACAGCCGTCCAAGGCGGCTCGGTTACTCGGCACGCAGAACTTCTCTCGCGGCCCAGGCCCTCTAATCAGGTCCAATACGTTGCCAGTCGAAAGTCCGTCTAAGGCATCGGCAAACCACTCTCGCAACAGCTCGAACATCAACAGCACATCTTTATTCGAATCACCTGTCATCCCGAGATTAAACGAGCGCTCGAGTTCAAATACCCCGCGATCACCTAGCAGCCTAGATAAACCTCTTCCCGCAATCAAGCA